GGTTGTTTTGCTATAGTTGTGAAGATCAAATGTCCCCACAAGGATAGTAAAACCTGACATTTTTGACTTTGTGAGGACATCTGGCCGGTCCTCACAAGGAAAATAAATAATTAAAAATACTAAATGAAGATTATTTTAAAATGTAAAAATGCCTATGAAAGTCCTCAAGTATAGTAAAACAAACGTGTGTGTGTGTGTGCGTGTGCGTGTTTATGTGGTTTATGAGTACACAAATTTGTATAATAACATGGGTATGACATAGGTATTACAACGAGAAGGTGATTTATGAGGACATTGTCAGTGTCCCTGTAATTCAAAAGGCTTATAAATAATTCAGAATTAGTTTTTTTGAAAATCTAAAAATGCAGAAAGTTTCCTGTAAGGGGTAGGTTTAGGGGTAGGGTTGGTGTAGGGCAATAAAATATACGGTTTGTACAGTATAAAAACCATTACGCCTGTGGAGAGTCCCCATAAATCATAAAAACAAACCTGTGTGTGTGTGTTCATATACACTTCGATGGACAAAAATGAGAAGGGAGAAGGACATTTTTGTCTCAAAGGTTCACTTTGAATTTAATCTGGATGTTATTTTGCCTTGATAACGTAGCAGTAAAATTCATGATTATAGCTGATAAGATTGTCTTTTGATATAAAGTTATTTCAACTTTTGTGTTGTCTCTTTGTGTGGTATTTGGTAGACACACACATTTGTAAATATGCAATATTAGTATTATTATTATATTATATATATTTTTAGTTTAAAGCGGATTCAATCTCATTAACATCTCAAGTGAATCGTGAGGATCATGCTGTCATAAACAGCAAAGTTCCCTGCAGTTACCAGTGCATGTTCACTTCGCTATCAACAGTGTGGGAGGCTCTTGAAGGAATTAAGTTGTTTGAGATGAGCTGACGATAAGCTTTGCCTTCCTGCCCTTTCAAGGATGGAAAAAGGGAATGGGTTGATAGTCTCTGACAGAACACTGCTAAACAACAAAAATACAGTTTGCCATTAGGAACTATGTATGTATAACATTCTCTAAAAACTGCTCAACATTGAATGTTTACATTATAGTGGTTGACCAGTATGGGTTTTTCAATGGCCATTTCTAACAAATACGACAGCAGAAAATGTAGTGTTCATCAGCACAGTAGTCATAAGGTTTTGGACACACTATTTGACTTTTGTTTATCATCTAAGTGGGTTTTTTTGAAGCCTTTAAGAGTTACATTGTAACTCACACACAAGTAGTTTCTCCATACAAAACAGACAGAAAAAAAAGCAGCTTCCTAAGAATTCTTCCTAAGAAATCAGGAGTGTGTCTAAAAGAGCCCATGTAGCCCAATATAGACTCTTCTGGACTGGGCCACCCTTCAAGTGGTTACCACAGCCCTTCACTATAGCAATTACACATGCAGTTCTGTCCGGGTGTGGCAGTGGGACTGAAACATAGTTGCCTATTTCCCAAACCTTAACTTCTACAATCTGGGTTTCTTCTTTCCACGGCCCTATGTGAAGGTGGCAGACGCATGGGGTGGGAGCTTCCTTTCTGAGGCCTATGGTCTTTAGGGGTGGGACCAAAGTATAAGGACAAGAGTGGTTTATGTTTAATCATATGTTTATAGAGGAGATTGTGATATATGTAATTTGAGCTCACATAATTGGATAGCTAGTGAAACGTCAAACCAGTAACTTAAATTATAAGGCATTTAGTGAATTTGGGGCCCCCGGGCAAAATATAGGATTGGGGCCTATTTGCCCACATTTACCTAGATCAACCTACAGGTTCCTTTTGTTGTTGTTGTGATGCTTGCTGCTGCACAATGGTGCCCCATAGTTGTGTCCAATGTTTCTACATTTTTCATGTTCTGTACATGTTATAATGGCTTTGTTGCAGACCACGAAATAGCAATTGATTTACAGTTGAGATACAGGTTTTCACAAAAACAAAGTAAATTATAAAATGATAAATTTCACAATTGATCCTTTAAAACTTTTTTTTTTAAGAAAAGGGATGAGTCAGAAGTATAAATTGTTATATTAATTTAAAACGGGGTTATGTGGTGGATTTTCGCATTGGTCTGAACAAAAATTGCAGACAGGATTATTGAAAATGAACATTCATTCTCTGCCAGCGGTTTCCCTGGTAACGGCTGTATAAACAAAGCAGCGCTGTGCTCATAAACGCTGCTTTATCAGATCAAATGAAAACCCATCGAAACTTTTCTGAAGACATTCGGTTCTCTTCAGAGATTCATTCATATAAAACTTGAATTAGTGAGAATGAGACGATTGTGAAAAAATATAGCCGATATTGACGAGGAAAGTTAACTGATGAGTTATCAACGTAAGCCTTTAAGTGCCTGGGCTCATACACTCTCCAAAGAAACTCCTTTAAATGTTCTCATCACAGAAATGCCTCTAAATGCCCAACATAACTGAATATTAAACACTAACATGTTTTTTCTTTACTGAAAAACACTTACAGTACAAAAAAATAAAAAAATAAATAATAAATCCCTTACTCTTACCTAATGCAGTCCCTTGCGAAGCAACTACAGACTGCCCAAAACGTTATGTCAACAAATGATTCATGTAGGTTTAATACAAATTAATTAAGTAAACCTCAATTGTAAAAAAAATAATAATAAAAAAAGTAATAAATAATAATAAAATTAAGCTGGTGCAAAATGTTCACAAATCATACTTCAGCTTGATTAAACTGAACAAAGAGACAAAGAAAATCGTTTTTTGAGTTTAGAAATGGTGTATAAGGCATGTAAGGATGTAAATAATTGTGCATGTGTATATCCTTGGCCTTTCATCCTTGATCAAATAAATAAACAAAACAAGTAATCAATCACAAACAAACAAATAATTCATAATATGTAAAATTCATGAAAATTGAACATAATTCATTACTGTGTAATGCAAGGGGAAGTATCAAGGTGGTTTCTGTGATAGTGATGTGCAGTAGGTGACAAACAAACACAATAAATAAATAAAAAGTGTTTCAATACAGTAGGTGACAAACAAACAAACACAATAAATAAATAAGTAAATAAATAAAACAAGCAAGCAAACAAACAAACAAAGTGATGTGCAGTAGGTGACAAACAAACACAATAAATAAATAAAAAATGTTTCAATACAGTAGGTGACAAACAAACACAATAAATAAATAAAAAGTGTTTCAATACAGTAGGTGACAAACAAACAAACACAATAAATAAATAAGTAAATAAATAAAACAAGCAAGCAAACAAACAAACAAATGAATGAATACACACACACACACACACACACACACACACACACACATATAAAGTGAACTTTTTGTATAACCTTGAGGCTCAAGTTTCCTGCACAGCTCCTGCAGTGGCTGCACAACCTTTTTATTGAGCTCGTGCTTCCACCTATCGGCGAAACTTCATGCAGCTTTAAAACGGAGCGTGGGTTACTCACAGTTATGGTTCTGATTTACACTAAACCGATCAATCTGTTGGTTATGGCCACAAGATGAACGGGTTTCCTTTCATTCTTATAGTAAATCAACTGAATTTTCTAAATACAAAGTGAGTGTATAATATTTTCAACGATGATATAGGCTATTATACTGCTATTATGTTCCTAGTATTCATGCATCTCAGATGCAATTAGATTTTTTTGTTTTCTTTAGTGACCCGCTTAATTGTTGTCGTTGTCGTGTTATTCTAAAAGACAAAAGGGGGCCA